AATGACGAATATAATTTTAAAATCATCTATAAAAAAGGCAAACTCAATACAAATGCTGACGCTCTTTCTAGAATCGAAATTCATACTAAGGAAACTAACGATTTTTGGGAACAACTCGATGACTTCCTTGGAGAAGCCTCCAACTATCAGAATCAAAGAATTACCTTTGTAGATCAAAATTTAAACACACCTCCCACGACACAAGCTAATCCAAATTCACCACTGATAATTCAAGATATTAGCTACCCCAATTTAAACCCTGAACTAGACGATATCTCAATGATTGTCAACTTGGACAATGAAACAGATCAACCTGACTGCCAGGAACTTCCTACCGTTGACAATACAAATACTGACAAAGATATAATCAATGAAACAGAACAAACTGACTACCACGAACTTCCTTTTGTTATTGACAAAACCAATACTAATGAAGACGAACTTGACAAGGATGATGAAACCCGGCACTCTAATAATCAACACCCGGTTGTTACAATTCCTATATCAGACCAACCATTGAACTTTGGCCAAAATCAGATCGTAATTAAAACGGTCCTGCACTCTCCCGCCAAGCCGAAAATCATAATTTTATTCGAGAGAAAACAGCGGCTATTAGTGCAAATTTCAAAGAACAACCTTGAATCAGATGTTGTAAATTTTGTCAAGGAATATATTGTACCCGATGTCCCATACTATATATATTTCGAAGATCCTGACATATACGAACCCTTCTCAGGCGCTTTACAAAAGTATTTTAAATGGCCCTCTATCAAGTTTAAAAGGTGTCTTGAAAAACTTCTAGACATCACTAGTAATGATGAAATTAAAAGTTTAATACAAAATTATCATGAAGGGAAATCAAATCATCGCGGGATCGATGAAACCTATTCTCGCTTAAAACAAAAGTACTATTGGCCAAATTTGAAAAGTTCCGTTCAGTCATACATAAATGACTGCGAAATCTGTCAACAAGCCAAATACGAGAGACACCCTGTTAAAGCGCAAATGAATATTATCTCCCACTGCTGTGAAGCCATTTGAAATAATTCACATGGACACATACACATTTGAAAAATCTAAATTTTTGACCATTATCGATAGTTTTTCAAAGTACGCTCAAGCTTACCATCTCAATTCAATGACAGGTACCGAAGTAGCTGACAACCTTATCCGATACTTTTCCCATCATGGAATCCCGACACAAGTTATTACTGACAATGGCACCGAGTTTAAAAACTCAGTCATATCCGAGTTATTAGGTTTACATGGAATCGAAATACATTTCTGTTCCCCGAACCATCCCCAGTCAAATGGCGTAGTCGAAAGATTTCATTCGACAATATCTGAGCAACTCCGAATTTTAAACACTCAAGGCTTTCAAAAAACATCTGTCCAAATGAAAATGATATACGCAATCTTAGCATACAACAACTCTGTTCATTCTGTGACTAAATTAAAACCCATCGATGTCATAAATGGTCATCTCAGTGAAAAAGATACATTTGACATCAGCTTAGACCAAATTTTGTTGAATGATTATGTAGAACAACATAAAGCACGCAGTAAGCTATTATATACCAAAATCAACGAGGCGCTTGTTCAAAATAAAGAAAAAGTAATTGAAAAGGCAAACATAGCTCGAGATAGTGCAAAAATATTTCAACCAGGTCAGAAAGCATTCGTTAAGAAAAATATACGTCAGAAAAATGCAAATAAATTCCAAAAATCATGTACACTAACATCAGTCGATCCTGGTAAAAAGACCGCTACTACTGATAAACACAATAAAGTACATATCGATAATTTGAAGCGTCCCCTTCGCAAACCATATTCATTTAGCAACTAAATGTTTCTCTCCAAGTACGACATACATACATGTAGGTATTATTCATTTGCAGATTCTTGCAAGTAACGGTTGGACTTCAGGATAGCATAACTATACGTAACCTCGACAACAATCCAGGACTACTTCCCGTGGAAATTGGTGAAGCAAAAATAAAAGACTATGACTTTTCACTCATTCATTATTATGATATGAATCCCATCATTTCTGAAATTGAAAAATTATCAATTTCCTCCTCACGTATAGCAGAAACCATTTCTTCAAATTTAAATGTCACTACATATTTGTCCAATTATTTCAGAACATTAAAATTTGTTCAGCGACAAGTAGAACAAAAGTTACATAATATATTTCCCCATACAAAGCGAGGAAAAAGAGGCATATTAAATGGCATTGGGTCGATATTCAAATCAATAACTGGAAACCTTGACGCCAATGATGGCGAACGTTTCGAAAATCTAATTCAAGAGCTTCAAAATAATCAAAGAGAATTGACTAACAGTGTCACACAGAATAATGCACGGTCAGTATCTCTTATTGATAAGTTCAATAAAACTGTTCAGCAAATCTGTCATAATGAACAATTGCTGAATAATAAAATTAATACCATATATGCAATTGTTCATCGTACTACAATCGATTCAGATCAGCATAAATTCATAGTAGACACAGTATCTCAAATTATGAACAGCTACGAAGTAACTCTGTCAATATTACAAGACGTTGAAAATTCAATAATTTTTGCACGTCTTGGAACAATTCACTCTAGCATTATTACAACCGAAGAAATTTTTGGTGAACTGAAACTATTGAGCTCAAGATTAGGCCAGGAAAAATTTGCGATTCCAGTTTTACTAGATAACATACCAACTTTTGAAAAAATAATCAAAATCTCCAGTTATTCTGTGGGCAACAAAATTACATTCGTTTTATCATTCCCAATCTCATACTATGAGTCATTTAACTTATATCGTCTCTTTCCAATCCCGATATATTTTGAAGGTCAATTTAAGACTATCATTCCAAAGGAGCCTTATTTGGTAAAAAATGAATTGCACTTTGCACTTTTCGGCGACATTTGTACTGAAATTACTCCTAAAAAGTTTCTCTGCGAGAAGACCATGTTGCGAGACATTAATGGTCCATTACCCTGTGAACTTGAACTATTCAATGGAAGAAACGCCCCTGCATGTGCCCGAACTCCACTGATAATCAATCAGCCAAGTATCGAACGAATCCAACGGACTAATCAATGGGTATTGATCCTGCCACTACCAGATGTTATCAAAATGGAATGCCACGAAGAAATGCAAATGAAAAGATTGACGGGAACTTACCTACTTTCTATTCCTGTCAACTGTCAAGCCGAAATTAATCACCAAATCATCAAAAATGAACCCGAAACGATTGTCGCGGGCCAACCTATAATATTCCCGGACTTAAACCTGGACACTAAAGGCGACATCACAGAAACAAATTTCAGTCTGCATCTAGAAAAAATTAAGCTGGACGAGTTAAGTAAAATCAAGTCAAGCATTATCAGCAACAAACCCAACTTCAAAAAACCTACAGAATTTTTTATACCCAGTGCCTGGACACTGATAATATATGGATGTATATTACTCTTGGGTGTCTACGCATTCTGGAAAACCATTTTGAAGAGGAGGAAGCTCAGAAATAGAAGTATTCAACAACCAGAAGTCGAACTTCATCCTATTCAACTTCCTTGAAGAATTCTTCCCCGAAGTTGAATCTCAGGGGGGAGGAGTTATATCAGCCGTTCCTGCTGATATGATAGGAATACTGCCGACGATGCTACTAATTTCCTAGAAGACCTAGAGTTTACTTTATTGTTCTCAACACATTTTACAGTCAGTCAGATTTAAGCCTTTGTACTGTTAACATCATAATAACATTGTAATAATTTTGTAAAAGTACAGTTTTGAGTTTTGTATTTTCGAAAAATAAACTTTTTTAAAAAGCGATCTCGAAGCATCGATCTTATAACTCATGTGATCTACTTAAATTGAATTTCTATGATTGCGCTAAATCAGACAGAACTATCAGGTAACTAAATAAGTTTTTAGAAGATAAATATCTATTTTTAATGAGAAACAATAAGACACTATTCATTCGTCGAAGTAATTACCATCACATTCAATGACCTTTTGCCAACGTGGAATCAATTTTTGTATGCCGGTATTGTAGAACTCCCTGGATTTGGATTCCAAAAGTTGGCGGACTGCATTTATTACACCATCTCGAGTTGTGAACTGTCGGTGCCTCATACAGTTGTCAAGAGGCAAAGAAAGGTGATAATCACTGGGCGAAATGTCGGGAGAATATGGCGGGTGAGGTAATCTTTCCTAGCCGAGTTCAGAATTGTTTTTCGGGTCACTTTTGCGATATCAGGCTTGGCGTTATACTGCAAGAATATCACTTTCTTCCGATTGATCAAAGAAGGCTGTTTCTGGATGAGTGCTGCTTGTACTCGTTGAAGCTGCTCACCATACATGTTAGCAGTGATGGTTTGACCCCTTTCCAAAAACTCGTAATGGACAGCTCCAGTTGCTGTCCACCAAACACACAACAAAACCTTCTTAGGGTGCAAGGAAGCATTGGGCGTGTGTGGTACCGAATCAGTAGGCGACAATCAATGATACGAACGCTTAAAATTCGAATACAAGATCCATTTTTCGTCGCAGGTTAATAACCGATTAAGAAATGATTCATTAGCGTTGCGTGAAATGTTTGCTGAACAAATAGTAAGACGACTTAATTTGTTATCATTTGTCAGTTCATGTGGGACCCATTTGCTTAACTTCCACGTCTTTCCTAGCTGATCAAGATGCAAACGAATAGTTTCAGGACTCACTCTGAACATTTCTGCAAGTTCTTGACACGTTATCCTGGAATTTGCATCCAGAACCTGTCGAAGATCCTAGCGATCAACAACATCCATGGCAATGTGAGATATACACCAACCGCACGAACTTATTTGGTTACCTGATATATAGGATCTCAGGAACAACCATGTCAAAACATAGGATTATGAACGTTAAGAAACGATATAATTTTTAATATCAACAACTATAAAAGTCAAAATTGCTACACTTAATTGCGTCTTTTGTAGTTATTTGCTACAGTATTTTTATGGTGGATATTGAGAAAACGAATTTGTAATGTTCACAATATAATATTGTACAAAAATGTACCGATTTTGCGCTGAACAGATAGAAATAGATGTGTACGTAATTATTTAGCTACTCCCTCAAACTTTGCAACTGTAACGATAAAATTCTCAATTAAAGCCCCATTTCTTCGAGGCTATAGTTGGACTAGCATTATTATTCAAATACGCACGGTTACGTTCGGTTTTGACTCAAAATATGCCCTAAAAACATCAAAAACTGAAACTATGGAGAAGGTTCCTCGACTATTTCAGAATATGAGAAATCTTCATCGTGCAAAAAATATATCTGAATGTAAAAGGTAAACCAGCAAAATGTTTTCAATTTCTATACTAGAGCAGATAATTCCAAACCAATTTCATTCTAAAGACAATCAATCCAGGCTTCAAAAATATGTAAGCGATAATTTTAGGACTCGCAATCTGATGAACTTTTGGTGTCACACTTAACAGCACAATTTTTTTAAGGACAAACGCGGCAAAAACAGATGCTCTCAAAGATTTCAAGGCTATACAATTGTGAGCTATGATACCTTGTTATGAGGTTGAAAAAGCGTTGTTTCTATAAGATTTGTCAATAAGAACATATATAATGTGATCAAATCTGTCGAGGTAGTTCTACCATTACTCGGGTAGCTTATGACACGTATTTTTCGAACAGGACAGGCAACTCAATCTATATATGCCTAAAAGACGGAAGGATGGTCTAAAAATTAGAAACGACTTGCTGTACTCATAATTTACATTCCAGATACTTGGAAATAAAGTTACGACACTTCTAGATTATAAAAAGCAACATATTTACCTTTGCTTTCCATGAAATCTAAGTACAATCCCTCATTATCACTCCGAGCAAATACCTTATCTCAAAAATTCTAATAACATCCTGTAGAAACGTCAGTTTTTTGACAGAATTAATTCTATTTTCAAAATCGGGTACGTTTCATAAATACAGAAAACAAAACTGACGTGGGTTGCCAATAAACAAACGTAACGTTTTCATTTTTTTGTACAAAATTATCACGTAAAATGCTAGAAAAGTACCACTAATATGGCTTTACACTCAATTTTGAAAAACGTAAACCACATAAAACCTAGGCTGCCAACACCCAACATTTATGGACTAAGAAAATTATGTTCAGAAGACTGCGGTGAAGAAAAGGTAAGCTGCACTTGCCAAAGTGAATTTTCGGTGAAGTTTTCATACGGTTTATTGTAGAAAGGACTAGTTTTGGGCGTATATGAAGGTGAAAATGACGAACCAGTTTTCACAAAGGCAGCATCAAAATTTAATGACCACACTAGCGGAAAATTATATGATTTAGTGAAAAGGTAAGATTTTTTTATTATCTTTGCTTAAGTAACATACATCCACTAATTGGCTCTGACTTGCGTTTATGTTAAAATAGTTGAATAGTTTAGGAAAATAGTGAAGAAATGGGACAGTTTATACCTGTCGTCAAATTACATATCCTACAGAGAATTTCTCAATAGTAGTCTAATCATATTAGCAAATTTCCCCGAATTTTCGGTGGTGCAAGTTGTTCAAGGGGATATTCAAAACATGGACGCATGAAATGGGTACACCCATTTTTGTGGAAAAACTTTTAATTTAACAACAATGAGAAAATGTGTTTTTTGGGATTCAATAGAAAGTGTTGACAGGAACCAAAAAACATATAAGATTTTTAGGTATATGACACCTGCAAAATGAGACCACACGTAAAAAGATCCGACTAATAGCAAAACTGTTATGGCTGAAAAACGAAGCAAAATGCAGGTTTTGGCACTTGTGGACGATAATTTCACGCAACTACTTGAAATTCTTCAAATCTGTAGGACTCAGACTTCTAAATAACAACAATAAAATTGGAGTATATTGGTCGTTTTTGTTTATCCCAAAAAACCTGCTATCGGCCATTACTACTAGTTTATTGAGCAATATACAGGGTTCGTTCAAAGAGCATTTAATAGCAAAATACACGTGTTTACCTTACCGATATGAATCACAAACTATTCCGAAAGATAAATGTTATTTTTATGCGAAAAACAAAGGTTACGTTTTTTTTCTTCTAAACAAATTCAAACATTTCGTATTTGTGAGTAATTGATCAAATGCGCTACGGTATTCGAAAAACATACGTTACTATACACATTTTAAAACAGTGTGTATGTCATCTTCTGTTGCGAATTACAAATACAGGTACATGTTTGAATTTGTTTAGAAGAAAAAACGTAACCTTTGTTTTTCGCATAAAAATAACATTTAGGTATCTATCGGAATGGTTTGCGATTCCTATCGGCGAGGTAAACTTAGTGTATTTTGCTGTAAAATGCACTTTGAACTAACCCTGTATATTGCTCAGTAAGCTAGTAGTGATGGCCGGAAAACAGGTGGTTTGGGATAAATAGAAATTCTTCAAAAACTAATTGACCAAACTACTCCAATTTTGTTGTGGTTATTATTATAAATCCTACGAATTTGAAGAATTTCAAGTATCTGCGTTGTATTACCAATAACTGCCAAGACCTGCAGTTTGCCCCGGTTTTCGGCCATAACTTTTTTGCTATTAGTCGGATCTTTTTACGTATGGTCTCATTTTGTAGCTGTCATAAATACCTAAAAATCTTATATGGAGTTATTTCGTTCCTGCCAGCACTTTCGATTGAATCCCAAAAAACGTTTTCTCATTCTTTGTTGTCGAATAAATAGTTTTCCAATATAAATTGGTGTACCCATTTTATGCGTCGATGTTGAATACCCCCTTGAACAACTTGCAGCAATAAAACCAGACTTTACAATTATTTCGTAAACCAGGGGTATTTTCGTCTAATATGATTCGACTATAAGTCCTGAAACTTTTTAGTATGCATTTCAAGCCATCTTAAGTGATATCTTTTTTGATTGAAAGAAATTATCATTAAATATCTCGGATTATTTTAAGTTATACAGAGAAAGGAAATCCAATCACTCCTTCTAGCAGTTGCAAGTTTTCCTCAATTGCATACGACACTGAAATTTAATTTAAATTTACGAACTAAATCGTAATCGTTAGAGGTATCAAGAGGACTCTCCATGAGCCTCATTGCCACTCGACCATTACTCGCTCAACGTGAGAGTAGATTCGAATAAATGAAATTTTGAAAACGTATACTGGGAATATTACAGTTTTCTAGAGCTCAACAAAAATGGTAATATGGGATTTTAATCATTTTATTTCTTGTAAAGGGCTGGCCCAGAGATCAAAAGAGGCGGAGCACGAATTTTCAATAACATGGACAAAGAATTTTGGTCAATAGCGGTAGTAGGATTAGGCAAAGAGAAGTTGGGCTACAACGAACTGGAGGCCATCGACGAGGGCATGGAGGCTGTCCGAGAAGCGGCGGGCATGGGGGCTCAAGTACTAAAAAGGGAGGGGGTTACCAGGATTTTGGTCGAGGGTCTGGGACACCCCGAACAGGCGGCGGAAGGAAGTGCTTTGGCGCTGTGGCGATACCAAGAAAACAGGTTAGTAATTTTTGGAAAAATTCTGCAAAATCCTCAATCATAATTCCCTAAAGATTCAATTTTTTTTGTTGTAGATCACAGGTTATCCTGCTTGGTAAATAGTGTAAGATCTCAGGATTGCCAGACATTACTTATTTCCTCAAAGACAAAATGTTGAAAAGCGTATTTCCAACGCCTAGAACCCGCTAAGTTAGGTAGAAGACCGAGATTACGGACGGTGAGAAGTGTCTGGCAGTGCATAATACTATTTTGTAATAACGTTTAACAAACTAAATATAAAAATTACCCACCAGAATTTGAGTCAGTCGTACTTACCCTTTCTCATCTGGCACCAGTAAATCGGCCCTCTGCTAAGTTTGCCAGGTATGCTTGTCTTGCAAGTGCATCTAAACGCTATTCAATGTCCCAAGTTTTGTCTTTCAGGAAATAAGACGGTCCTGGGATCTTACTGATGGTTACATTGTATACTTTTCAGATCACGACAACATTGGAGAATCATCCCAACCCTAGAACTATTTGACGATTGTGATGCCGAAGGCTTCCAGCGAGGCCTCTTCAAGGCTGAATCACAAAACCTGGCGAGGCGCCTGTCAGATACACCAGCCAATCAAATGACACCTCTGCATTTCGCACAAGAGACTGTCAACGAATTGTGTCCGTGTGGAATTAAGGTAGGCATAAGTCAAATGATAGTGGCACCTTCAAGTTGATCTGCTTGATTTCGACACATAAAATAGCAAGGTGCAAATGCAAAAAATATTAAGAAATTATGAGAGCCTTGTAATCTAACAGATTTTACTGAATATTTACAATCTTCTCTGTTTTTCTTAAAGGTTATGGTACATGACAAAGACTGGATCGAGCAAAAGAAATTCCAAGCTTTCTTAATGGTGGCACGAGGTTCCTGTGAACCCCCAGTTATCGTAGAAATTTCATACTGTGGAGCACCTCAAGTATGTTTTTCATTGAGATTTTCACATTCATTAACACGTTCAGTGCGAACAGCGTCAAAAGACGCCCTCCGCTCCTGTGGTGGGAGGCGAACGGCGTCTTTCGACGCTCTCTGCCGGCTTCCAAAAAAGGGAAAAAAGTATTCCAGCTTCTGAGGTGGGTATCCTCATCCCAGTTCGCAGTCAATGTGTTAATAATATATTTTACATTATTGACCCTTGACATAACTTTCTAAAAAAATCATCAGGACTGGGGACCCCATCGAACCTGTTCCGGCTCTTAAAATATACCACCGCACATCGGAATCAATTATCAAATAGCACTGAACCTGCACATATACCTATTTTTGCCCAGAAGTGCGGCTAAAGATGATGTGTGCCTTTTCCAAAAAGTATACACCATAGAGTATACTACCACCCTGCAACCCACGAACTGAGCTAGTGAAATACGGGTTGCAGCAGTATAGGCAAATATCAGCAAACGGTCGTTACGCTATTGCTCTATAGGTGGCGTTCATACGGGTAACTCCACAGAATTTTACAATGGCAAATGTCCAATTGATATTTTTTTACGTATGTTGGGGGTTGTTCAAATATTACCTAAGCAGATTTATAACAATTATTTACCCCCCCCCATCCTCCTTGTCAGCAAAAGTAAGAAAAGCTCTTACCCCCTCCCCCCATGCTTACGTAAACATTTGTCAATTAATGTATTGTTTTTTTTAATATTATAATTATAATTTGAAAAATAAGAAAATAGATTTAGGATAGAGATTATATTTTAGTGATACGGTATTCAACATAGAGCAAAGGACAAAAATATCTTACTAACATAAAAAACTTATTTTAAATGTTTGGTATATATATTAAATTCAAATTAACAGTCTTCAGTCCATGAAACCTGAATCCATGATTCGATTTCGATGACATTGGATTTCTTCGATTGCTGCTCAGTGTTGGGAGTTTGCTCGCTTTCATCGGATTTTGGAATATCTACGTCGTTCTCATCGAGCCATTCAACATCATGGTGCTCTAAATTTTGAATAATGCACATCAGTTCATTAGCACGACGAGCAGCGACTCTTACAGGTCTAACTTTCCTAACTTTTTTATGGATATTTTCGATGTGACGATTTAGTGACTTGACCGAAACATGATAAAGACCACACGGTTTGCATGTTTGACTTGATTGCCTCAATTTTACCGTCGGACAAAAATAATCGTAGGGCATTTGCAGGAAATCTTTGAGTGAAGCACTTAAGCGTAAAGCTAAATTGACCGTAAGATTAAGAAATTGCCCTCCTTCATCCAAAACCAAGTCATCAACTGTTTGCTTTACTTTTACAGGTGGTGGAAGAAACCTATTGTCTAGTAATCTAAATAGGCCACTTCTTGGACGATAGCATTCTGTATTTCTACATTTTACAATTTGAAGCAAGTATTGGCTCTCACGCACACGTTCTGAATACCATTTAATGTCTGGAAAATCAGGAAGATCACGTGCATTAGAAGAGGTGCTTGCTTATTTGCCGCAGTTACGCCAATAGGGACTCGAGCTTTATCATCTTGAGATATGAAAAATACTTGATCTGGTCCAAGTATGGAAGCTATGTTCTCAAAATAATGGATTGATGTGTCAGCGAACTTGCTATCTAAGTGGCTCTTGTGGTGATCAGTTTGAGCCCGAATGAGCTTAACAGGGACTGTCGATACATGTCTTCGTCCCTCTGCAGAATTAGATTTTCTGGGAATCAAACGAAGATATGTCCCACTGCGACTAATGTCAAATCCTATTTTACGCAATTCTTGTGTGAGTTCATCAAGAGTTTTGTTCACTGCGAATTGATTCCGTTCGTCTTCTATCATCTGCTGCACTCCCAAATAAAGCTACATCCGCGATTGTTTTCAATAGTGAATGTTGATTGCTTTCAAGATTAGGACGTCCCACTGAATCCCTCAGAGATAGTCTTTTTTTATTTCTGGATTTTCATGACATATCTTCTAACTTTCTTTTCATACTATCCCTGTGTTTCTTCTGGGTAACTGCGTTTTGAACCTTCCTGTTTAAAGACTGTTTTCTGTTTCCTCGCGCAACGCGGCTTGGCATAGTATCTCTGGCAGAATACAAAGCATTCAGATTTTTTTCGAGTAGAGCAATCTTATTTTTCATAGCTTCCTGAGAAGGTTTTGCTCTCTGTTTATCTGTATTTTCATTAATTTCGCATTGCTGTTGTGATTCGTTTCCGGGTTTTATTTTATCTTCTTCCTCTTTTTCAATATTTAAAGCTGGCTGTATAATTTGTTTTTTCTGCAGGTTTACAGGTTGCCTAAAAATAAAAACTTTCTATGGCTTCTGCTAAAGATTCTCTTATTAAGCTACATAAATACAAAGTATGTGTATGTTTAAACGAGCCATTCGTTCTGGTCACAAAATACAGGGTGTTAGTTTTCTGTATATATGTATAAAACTAACATCCTGTACTTTGTGACCAATTGACGGAATTAATCATAAGAAATAAATCTATAATATAATGAATATTACCTCTATACTTTGAGATAGGCCATAATATTTTCTAAAGAGTAAAGAGAAACTTTTTGGCGATTTCTAATATTTCTAGTACTCATAGGTACCTACCTAAAATGATTTCGTCACTCACCTTATAAAAAAAATTAGTAGATTGGATTTATTCTTACTCGCCGCTTGCCATTCTTCTTAGATACAATAGTATTTAGTTCCTTGTCGGATTTTGCTTGTAATTTGTAATTTCGCCACACGTCGTTAACTAACTTTTGTACTTTCGTACTTTTATGAGATTTTTTAAAACTTTTTTTGGTATAACTTCTAACATCTTATTTAAACATTAAACTTTGGCTAATGGAATCAATGGTAACACAAATGTTAACTTGCTTTACTATGCTTACAATACGTCTACTCGCTATAGTATCCAAACGAAACAATACACTGATAGAGGAAATTTAGACAAGTGAACACCGCGCGGTAATTCCTCGGTACTAAAGCGAGTAGGGGAATTACCGCGCGCTGTTCACTGAACGTATGCATTATTTGCGGGAATCCCCGAAAATGCGTTTCGTTTTCAAGCAAAGACAATGGGAGGGCTGCCATTCGTGTAAAAAGTAAATAACTACCGATGACGTAATCATCATCTAGACTCCCCTACCACCCATGTCATCCAAAATAAGCAAAGCAAAGACCCCCATAGTGCTCACGTAATACTTGAACGGCCCCTTGCTGCCAACATCGGTGAAGCGGATGCTGAGTTTATACATTGAATGGTATTTTCGTTAAATCTTTAGCGAGTCACCATGCTTCTCTTCATTTAGATTAAGTTTGTATCATTTGTCTTTGCAGGACCAGAAGCCCGTGCTAATGGTAGGCAAGGGCATCACGTTCGACGCGGGCGGGCTATGTTTGAAACGATGCGAGGGCATGGACCGATTTAGGGCGGACATGAGCGGGGCGGCGGCCATCATCGCCGCTATCCGAGCGGCGTCTGCCCTAAGTTTGCCCATTAACATCGAGGCCGTCATCCCGCTATGCGAAAACATGCCAAGCGGTATGGCCATGAAGTGCGGAGATGTAGTAATGGGACTTAATGGTAAGAGTAACAAGATACCTGACAGCAAAATGTAATAAAATGGAAAATTTTTCTTAAAATGTGCAAAACGAGGTTTATATTCGAAATGAAGGGGAATTATATACTTTCAATACTGCAATGCGTCAGCATTTATCATGAAACGAGGTATTTGTTGAACGTCTAGCATAGTGCATCGATTTATTGTCGTATAAGAGAACGTAGAAATCCGCTGACTTTGAGGAATCAATCAGTAAATACCTACTGATCGTGGTAACATTCGTCTGAGTACTAATATCAACTAGGCTGTCAAATAATTTTTCTGGACAAAACAGCACATTCGTAGTACGAAAAGTAAATCCAGCTTGGAATATTAAAGCAATAGAGCGCTAATTTTGACGCTCAGTATATTTACTGAAAACTAATGTAGGTTATGGGCCCAGTAAGCAAGGTTGTGGTAATGAGCTCCTTGTAAAATATATAAGTATTTGGAAATAATTACGGGGAGGTTGATATTTCCTCAAATAATATTTTAATTAATGATTTTTCTTTCCAGGTAAGTCAATCATGATAACTGACACGGACAATGAAGGCCGTTTGATGCTCGCCGATGCGTTAGTATACGGTCAGGCGCAATACAAACCTAGGTTAGTTATCGACGTGGCAACCTTAACGCCAGGTGTAAGAGCAGCTTTAGGGTCGGCGGCTAGCGGAGTGTTTACCAACTCGCAGACTATGTGGTCTCAGGTCAGTATCTTATAAATTTAGGACACAATTAGCGCTAAGTAATTTATATAGAAAAGTGCTGAATTTAACCCTGTATGGCTTTTTAGGATTATACAATCAAATAAGGCTTGGGCAAAATTTACAGTGTTGCTGTTTGTTATGGGGAAAATAATATTCTAAACAATTTGCATTGCTAACGTCAATAAAATTGGTTTCAGACTCGCAAAGCGGGAGTAATAACGGGCGACCGAGTATGGCGACTCCCCCTATGGAAGTTCTTTACGAAGAAGGTGACTTACTTCAGGTCGCACGACGTGAATAATAAAGGCTGGGGTCACGGATCTTCTTGTATTGCGGCCGCTTTCTTAAACGAATTCATCGATTGTGTCGATTGGATCCATTTTGACACTACAGGTGTTGGGATGAAGAGTGAGCACAAAGTATGTTTTCTTTATGAGATTTGCGTAAACGAGCGTTCTATCCTCCCAATCATTCCATTCTTTCCATCAAACAAGATCGTTGTTTCGTCACCAGAAAATATCAAAAATTGAATCTGAAAGCCGATTTAAAGGCCCGAGAACAAAAGTCGAATTCGAATTTTGTGGATTTTTTTTTCGGAAGGCATTCGAATTGTGAGGCCAATAAAACTGTGAAAGATGTCCAAAACCTCAATTTTGGCTGGAATATCTGCCGAATCAATTATCAGATCGCAATTTGGAGGTCAGTTTTGAATACACCGGACAATTTTACTTCAGAATAGTCGGATATGACGGAGTCTTTTTAGGGACAGGAGTAGCGAGAAAATGGAAAATTTGTCAAAAAGTCTAAGGTTCACTTTTTTAACCTTTGAGCGAATCTTCAGAGCGACCCGCTCGATCTAAGGCCCGAGAACAAAAGTCGAAATCGAATTTTGTGGATTTTTTTTCGGAAGGCATTCGAATTGTGAGACTAATAAAACTGTGAAAAATCTCCAAAACCTCGATTTCGGCAGGCTATCATCCGAATGAATTATCAGATCGCAATTTGGAGATCAGTTTGAATCCACCGGACAATTTTACTTCAGAATAGTCTGATATGACGGAGCCTTTTTAGGGACAGGAGTAGCGAGAAAATGGAAAATTTGCCAAAAAGGCTAAGGTTTATTTTTTAACCTTCTTTGAGCGCATCTCCCGACCAACCCGCTCGATCTAAGGCTCTGAAAGCTCCATGTTAGGTACTCTCCATTAAAAAAATTGAACGCGATCTGAGAGGAGGGAATAAAAACGATTTTGAGAAAAATTTTTCTTTACTTTCCACCCCTGGCCCTCACTGGCCGAGAAGTATTGCAATCGCAATTTTTTTTAATTGGATTATTTTGGATGTTATATATATATATATATATACAGGGTGACTTCGAAGTTGAGTCATTTATTTTAACAGTGAGTAGATCTGATCAAAAGAAATGTTTTTTTCCTTTACCATTTTTCTGGTAAAATTAAAGTAACAAAGTTATAGCCCTTTGGAAGTTTGAGTACCGCCCTGTCTCAATAATATCATGTACTCGTGTTTGGCAACAACGGATATAATCCACCTTATCGGTTCATCGCATCGGAAACAAAAAAGCGAAAGAATTTGGAACGATGTTTATTTTATTCAGTTCAGTTATACATACAGTCAATGTCAGTCGCGTGTGAATAGTGTCTGTTGCGTGGCTCAAACGAAATAAAAAGTGGCACATGTTTATTCGGATCGGTTTCCCAATCGAGTGCAACCAACCCCTCGTGCCTTTGTTAATGTAGTACAACGGGCTCGTGAATCAGGTGACTTCAGACCTCACAGGGGACCTCACGATCAAATACAGGTCCGCACTGAAATACTTGTCGGGAGGATACTTTATAAAACAAGGTAAAAATTTTTTTTTATTTTTTTTTTTATTTTTACACACATATTTTGGTTTATCTTCCTTCTACAATCATTATCCGAAAATTAATGACTCAACTTCAAAGTCACCCTGTATATACAGTATATACAGGGTGACTTCGAAGTTGAGTCATTTATTTTAACAGTGAGTGGATCTGATTAAAAGAAATGTTTTTTTCCTTTACCATTTTTCTGGTAAAATTAGAGTAACAAAGTTATAGCCCTTTAGAAGTTTGAGTACCGCCCTGTCTCAATAATAATATTATGTGCTCGTGTTTGGCAACAACGGATATAATGCCTTATCGGTTCATCGCATCGGAAACAAAAAAGCGAAAGAATTTGGAACGATTTTTTTACAATTATTTTATTCAGTTGTATACAGTCGGTGTCAGTCGGTAACGCGTGAGTGAATAGTGGTGTCTGTTGCGTGGCTCAAACGAAATAAAAAATGGCACATGCTTATGCGGATCGGTTTCCCAATCGAGTGCAACCAACCCCTCGTGCCTTTGTTAATGTAGTACAACGGGCTCGTGAATCAGGTGACTTAAGACCTCACAGGGGACGGCATGCCGGTGCTCCAAGACCTCACGATCAAATACAGGTCCGCACTGAAATACTTGTCGGGAGGATACTTTATAAAACAAGGTCACATTTTTTTTTAATTTTTTTTATTTTTACACACATATTTTGGTTTATCTTCCTTCTACAATCATTATCTGAAAATTAATGACTCAACTTCAAAGTCACCCTGTATATATACAGGGTGACTTCGAAGTTGAGTCATTTATTTTAACAGTGAGTAGATCTGATCAAAAGAAATGTTTTTTTCCTTTACCATTTTTCTGGTAAAATTAAAGTAACAAAGTTATAGCCCTTTGGAAGTTTGAGTACCGCCCTGCCTATTATATGCTCGTATTTGGCGACAACGGATATAATCCGCCTGACCGGTTCATCGCATCGGAAACAAAAAAGCGAAAGAATTTGAAACGTTTATCACGATGTTTTTCGTCAGTCGATAAATCCTGAGTGAATAGTAGTGTGTTGCGTGGCTCAAACGAAATCAAAAATGGCACATGTTTACGAAAATGCTGAACTTGTGGACATGATTCTTATTTACGGGGGGGCAGTCTTTACAAAATGCTCCCGGATGCATCACGGATTTATGCGAATCGGTTTCCCAATCGAGTGCAACCAACCCCTCGTGCCTTTGTTAATGTAGTGCAAAGGGCTCGTGAATCAGGTGACTTAAGACCTCACAGGTGGGGGCATGCTGCTCCAAGACCGCACGATCAAATACAGGTCCGCACTGAAATACTTGTCGGGAGGATACTTTATTAAACAAGGTAACATTTTTTTTTATTTTTTTTTTATTTTTACACACATATTTTGGTTTATCTTCCTTCTACAATCATTATCTGAAAATTAATGACTCAACTTCAAAGTCACCCTGTATATATATATATACAGTGAAAGCTCCCATAAGCGGACACTCACGGTTCCGTAACTTTTGTCCGCTTATGGGAGGTGTCCGTTTAAAAGAGAGTATGTAAGTATAGAGTATAAATAACGGGGTATATAATCATGAGGAAATGAGGTATTATAATCATGAGAAAAATGAAACAGAAACTCGCCACATTTTTAAAGTATGTATTTATGCTATATATCTATATAATATATGTACATATACGCATACAAAAACATAAATGCTTCAATACATGGTACGAGAATTTAAAAAAAAACATTATTCTTTAGCTTGTTGAAAAAAGTTTAAAATGTTTGTCTGACGAAATTTCACCATCTTTTGCTGAAGGAGACAATTTTCGTAATAACTTTCTAAATTTTTCAAATGTTGAAATGCAGTGAAATCATCTTTAGCAAATTTTTTCAATATAGAAATATGATTTAGAGCTTCCCCATTGACCATCGTCAATTTTTGTTAAAATATGTTTTAAAATCAAGTGCCGATAATAAAATTTAGAGTTCTGTATGACACCTTGATCCATGGGCTGACAAACAGAAGTTGTGTTTGGCGGTAAAAATATAATTTTCACATTTTTCATTTTCATATCACGAGGATGAGAGCATGCATTGTCTAAAAATAAAAGAACTTGCCTTTTTTGGATTCTCATTTTCCGGTCGAATTCGACTAACCACTCAGACATGATTTCTCGGGTCATCCATGCCTTTTTGTTGGATTTCCAAGTCGCTGGTAGATCCTTAATAGCAACGTTTTTTAAAGCACGGGGACGAGCCGCTTTCCCGATCACAATCAAATCGCATTTTTCACCGGCCATATTTGCACAGAATAAAATGGTTAGTCTATCTTTAGACAACTTTCCACCCACACATGTTTCTCCTTTAAAGGACAGAGTTTTGTCGGGCAATGCGCGAAAAAAAAGTCCACTCTCATCTGCGTTGTACACATCTTCTGGTTTGTAGCCAAGCAACATGGACGGAAGTTTCTCCAAAAATTGTGACACATCAACTTGATCTACTGCAGCAGCTTCGCCAGATATGCATTTGAAACTCACACTATGTCTCTTGCACCACTTTTGCATCCACCCGTCGGACGCACTGAAATTATTATAGCCCAAAGTAGTGGCGATTTCTTTAGCTTTCATTTTCACTAACGGCCCTGAGATTGGAATGTTCTGACTTCTAGCTTTCACAAACCACTCAAAACATGTTTTGTCTATAGCAAAACCTTCCTTTTTTAAAAAATCCTTCTTTTGATTTATATTAGTTCCTGATTGCCATTTACTCCTGATATCTTCCTTATTTTTGGCAATTTCAGCTGCTTGCGTTTTCCCAATATTAAACCTCTTTGCCAAATGACGAACTGAAACACTTTCTCTGTCTAATACGTTAACAACTTCCATCTTTTCCTTTAACGAGAGCATCCTTTTTTTTTGGTGCCATTTTACAGTTACAATAATAAAATACGTAACTCAATCAACTACGAATTTGCCTGAACTGAAGACAAGCCACAAGATTACATACAGGCTACCCAACGAAATGCGTAAATGGGGAATCACCTAATATAAATCGGGGAATTACCGAATTTTATGTATGTAGATATGTGCATTGCAATAAGCGGAACTAAAAAATCGTCCGGGTATTAGAGTTTCGCGTCCGCTTATGGGAGATTTTTTGATCACATACAGGAAAATCTAGTGTCCGCGTCCGTTTATCGGAATGCATTTAACATTGAAAATTGATGGCTGAAATTCGGTTCCAGGAACTTTGTCCGGTTAAACGAGATGTCCGCTTATAGGAGCTGTCCGCAAGGAGAGCTTTCACTGTATATATATATATGTTTCAGAAAGTCGTACCAATATTTTTTGCAAATGCATCCCTACCGAGATACAGGATGATGAAGTTTTATTTACGAAATAGAAAAACATATATATATATATATATATATATATATATATATATACAGTGTGACTTTGAAGTTGAGTCATTAATTTTCAGATGATTGTAGAAGGAAGATAAACCAAAATATGTGTGTAAAAATAAAAAAAAATTAAAAAAAATGTAACCTTGTTTTATAAAGTATCCTCCCGACAAGTATTTCAGTGCGGACCTGTATTTGATCGTGCGGTCTTGGACCACCGGCATGATCTCCCCTGTGAGGTCTTAAGTCACCTGATTCACAAGCCCTTTGTACTACATTAACAAAGGCACGAGGGGTTGGTTGCACTCGATTGGGAAACCGATTCGCACAAATCTGTGATGCCGCGGCAGCATTTTGTAAAGACTCCGCCCCGTAAATAAGAATCATGTCCACAAGTTCAGCATTTTCGTAAACATGTGCCATTTTTCATTTCGTTTGAGCCACGCAACAGACACCACTATTCACTCACGCGTTACCGACTGACACTGACTGTATACAACTGAATAAAATAATTGTAAAAACATCGTTCCAAATTCTTTCGCTTTTTTGTTTCCGATGCGATGAACCGATAAGGCGGATTATATCCGTTGTTGCCAAACACGAGCACATATTATTATTGAGACAGGGCGGTACTCAAACTTCCAAAGGGCTATAACTTTGTTACTTTAATTTTACCAGAAAAATGGTAAAGGAAAAAACATTTCTTTTGATCAGATCTACTCACTGTTAAAATAAATGACTCAACTTCGAAGTCACCCTGTATATACGAAACGGGTAAAGATACTGTGTTAAGACGTTCAGTCAGCGCATCATTTGTCAGCAATAAACACACAGTACCGGCCCAAATTAAACAAGGGGCGTAGAAACTGGGGGACCTGAACCCCTAATAGGAAATATTTTCTATGCCACTGGCCTTTTCGGAGAAAAAAGTGCATTTTAGAAAATACCAATCATAAGGAATATTTTTCAGAATACTCGTTTGAACATTCCAGTACAATCCTAAAGTATTCTTATAAAAAGGCTTAGCATCATTACAACATTGTTTAAATAATATGCGTGTCATATCCTCAATTAGTAGCGTATAAACTTACTATTCACTAAACATTTCCTGTACACGCCACTGGTTTTGGGGGCATATTAATTTTTGTTTATAGATAAATAAACTTCAAAACAAAGAAAACGTGGTTATCAAAAATAAAGCTAATAGGAACTAAACACGACAACAATATACATTACATTTCATAAACCTTTTTTTAACGGCAGCATAATGGCTTTGGTAAAAGCTTACTCTATGTACTTATTTTTTAAACTTATCTCTGCTCCTAAGTATCTATGAGAGGGAAATTATAATTATGCATATGGTCATCCTCCTCCGCATACTTCTTGTCTGAGGTTGCTAACGATTTGTGAGCTCATTTAATCCGACTTTTGAGAAAAAAGGTGCGGTAATTTCAGAAGTTAAATAATAAGAATTTTACTCAAATTGATTGGTTCCACAATTACTGGTTGTGATTTTCAACAGGAGAATTTTAGCAAGGATAATACCAGGCGAAGTATACCATGAAAACCAGCGGCGTTCTTAGATAAGGTTTAATGAGTGGTAGGGGAGCACATTTGGATCTATATAGGAGCTTTTTGTTTTCGCATTTACTTTCTACCGTGGAACTATTGGCATCCTGTATATGACATGTACATCGCGAAAAACAAGTCACTCATTTCCGACACGCTTTGACGTCTACTGAGGTAAACAGCTGATAAGCAAGTGACAACGTTGGCAATAATAAATCGGGTGTAAATCTAGTAAAACTTGTTTGAAACGTTTTGTTTTTGGATGCAAATGAACTTTTCTAAATAAAAGAGCTTTTAGCAAGCACAAAATAAATCTGTAGCGTGCAAAAAACCAACACAAAATATGGCTCCGTCTACCTGGCATTACCGATCTCAGAATTGTGTCCTTTGCCGATATGAGGAATTTTGACCTATTAGTAGATAATCAGCTGCCATTCTACCGTAATGGATACTCGTGAAAAAGAGTATACCGCTCGGATTTTGATGATTTTTTACAGTGTTAGTACTGTGCCAAGGGCGAAAAAGTTTTGTAGAGAAGGCCGAAAGAATAAAAATCGGCCAAACCTCCGTTTTTTGACGTTTCAGAGAATCCTGATCATTTTTGCTAAAGTTTTTAGAGGAAAAAAATTAAGAAGCGGGGGAGGGGGGGAGTGAAGTGTTAATTCTACACACATATTAGACATATTTCATACATCGTAAATTTCTCTTCACATTATCGCTTAAAACTCGCCAGAGGATCGCGTACCTACCGGCCGCTCTGCTTCTCCTTTCGGCGGCGTGGGGCTGGCCTTGATGAGTGTTCTGGTATTACACGTCTGACCGGATTAGATATCTGACAGAGACGACGTTGCCGTAAGGACTACCGATAAGGCAGGGAAAAATGTCTATGGACTAACTGAATGGACCGGTCTGACTGACTTATTTCTCAGAGGGTCTAGTGTGGGCTGAACATTATGCTTTATGAACCGATAACGCGTTACGTGGGAAGTGCAGCGTCACCCTACTTGACGCCATTTTTTCATTTATCCGGAAATACTCCAAATTGAGAAATGTCTTAGTTACTTACTTTGCATCTCGTACTGTTTCCGAGATCCTAATGGTAAGAATACGAATTTGAAACACCCGGTATAATAATGTATTTTTTATGTTTCAGGTGTATCCATACTTAACGAAAGGCCGAATGACAGGTCGGCCGACACGAACCTTGATCCAGTTATTGTACCAATTGAGCTGTCCCGCGGAAGGTGCCCGCAAATTAGAATGATTGAAGTCTCCGTTAAAAAAAGTCGACGTCTGTATAGTGTAAATGCCTCTTTCCCCTGTCATATGTAAAACTCTTGTCATCGATATTCTAAATATATCACATAAATATTGTATATACACAAACAACACCTTATCTGGATATTGTGGCATATTGTTGAATAGGTCAACTCTTAAATTTAAGTAGGGTGGGATTTTTTTTCTCTCAAGGATGATAATTGTATTTTATTATACTCTTATCTTTTACAGTCAAAGGGCGACCTTTGCATCGTAGGGAATCTAGCGGCCCGACTTTGAGCCAGATAACGATTTGTATGCTCAGGAAGCCATATAAAATTAATCCAACAACTCCACTTTGCAAAACAAATCTCAAATTAGCCTACAATCAATTGATACTGGATAGTGAGCAACAATGAACATTCGAGTTTTTGTGCACTCAATAACAATGCATAGAAAATAAAAAAAACGTCTTGCAATAATCACATTTAAACCAAATCCAACTTCATATCGAGACAAAAAACATCTAGTTTTGTAACCACTGACTTTCAACCTTAAAAACTATCAGGCATACTGAGATCACAGGGAAACCTTTAGTTTTGACAATATTCCACATTATAATAATATTGCCATCAGTGCTGGGAAGCTATATAAAGTGCACATCTGTCTTTGAAACATTTCACGTATAATGAAACGTATATATTAAATTTTTATGGTTGATACACTATATGCTCTTTACAATGACATCATTTTTAAACACATAAATATAAATATATCGTACCTTTGGTCTTGGGAACATTTCAAGCATATAAACACAGATGGCTCTGAAGAACGTGCCCGTAAAAATTACATCAACTATGTACACAAGACAGGTGAAGGTCAGGTATTTAACGTGGTAACAATGCTCCATGTGACATTATACAACTTTGCATGTGAGATATTGTTGAGGCAAATGTTTATGTTCATTGTGATTCCGTCTTAAGTCTAAATTCGTTGTAGAGATATGGAAGGCTAAGGTACATTCGTTTGTTCGGCTTTGGGTCATCCACCACTATCGGTGCTGAAAAAATAGTTACCTTTACCACGTGATACCTGTTTGGAGTGACTTTTTGTCAAAACTACTGTTGAAGAATAAGTGAATAAAAATGGCGCCGATGGTGGTAGGTCGTCAGATTCCGATGCCTCACGAGTAGAGTATAACTGATATGGCAGCTGGTCACTGCCAGTCCAAACGTTTTCTATAATTGTATTTTTAATCAAATCAATCTATATATTGTTCCCAAATAATACAAGTCTATATGCATCCTACATACCTCTAATCAAAAATGCGGTTACGCTTGAATTCTACATAATACAAAAAACAAAATATTCATGCCACGAGTTTACAGTTTATATATGAGCCTGATTATGTATTGGTCAGCTCTTTTATATTGATAAGTATTTGTGTAAACTTATTGTAACAACAATTTAATATATTGTATACTTTGTGAATCGTTTTTTTCATTATCACTCATAAGCTTTGCATATTTTAAAAAATGGCGTTCCTCAATTCATTGTGTGTTTATTTAGAAATCATGTTTTGCGAGAAAGCGAAGCCGACCTTAGACATCTGGACTACTGGTTTTGGCTGGTGGGATTACATCTGGATATGCGTAATATTACCGGGGTCGGGAGCTTATTAAAATACCATCTTTTACTGACTCTGCAGATAGAACGTTTACCCACCCCACCTCCACAACCCCAAACCCCCAATTTTCAACCCACATTAAGATTTCTGAGAATGAGGAGTCTGAATGTCAAAAAACGAAGTTCTAACTTTTTTTTGTTTTTTTCCCGCAACTGGATCGATTTTTAACTATGTTGAATGCCACCTCCCTCATCAAATGAGTTTTGTCTTTCTTTGTTATTCTTTTAACTACGAGTAAAAAATAAAAACGTATTATTCAGATTATTATTTTTAAAACCAAAACTTTTAGGTCATTGGCATAGTAGTAAGCTCATTTCAAAATGTCATAAAAATCTGGTCGTATTTTGAAGTTCTAGAACAGGCAAGGATTAACGGACAGTCAGACGGACCGACGGAAATGAATGACATGGTATTTCGTCAAAAAAAAAACAAACGTAATATCTAGTTCCCTAACAGGTCATCTTGACAAAAACAAATTTTCCGTTTAAATTTTATTCAGTTTCAAAATAAAAATACACATTTCAAGTTCCAAATCAAACATTGAAACTATGTTGTTACTTAAGCAACGTATGTTAGCCCATTATTGTAAAATGCAATAACTAAAATCTTTTATACAATGTGAAAGATCGCAAATATAACAGTCAAAGAGTAAAAAATGTCTTAAGAATCCATTTTCAAGTTGAACACAGGACATACATTGATATAGAAAGATCTAGGCTTGGAAAAAAAATCTAATGAAAAAATATCGTTTCACGTAAGAGCTAAAGTACAAGTAATGTTTTGTCTTTTAAGAAATGATATAAAGCACAATTGCTCTAATTTGGAGTAAAATACGGAATTTAAATTCTAAGGACTGAGCTATGGTTTTTATGAAAAATAAAGTATGGATACCAAAACAGATAGGTACATTTGTCTGGGCTTTTCTTCGCAACTATTATCGACTGTACAGCAGTTTCGTTTTGGAAAAAGGTAGACGGGCCCAGCATTTGAAAAATTAATTTTGAGATACGGATATTGCTCAAAGTCCAATGTTGTATTCTTATTCTATAAGCTATAAGACCTGTGCCCCTTGCAATGGTTCAAACTTGAACCATAATACGCTACATTACCTTATTTTATATATACAAAACTAAACACAGATTGTATGTGTGATTGTATTTAAGACTAAATTATTGCAGATAAGTAAATCATGATATTGTATACTTATAACTTATTTTCAAAAACCATATTCTCATCATACAACATGCATTCGATTATATCAAAATATCACTTATTATGTACATTCCCAAAATAGTTGTTTTTTAGAACCACTGCTAATGCTATACTTGCTTACCTTAAAACTTATACTAGCACATTGGAGTATCTTTGTCATCAAGGTTTGACTGAAAGAAAATAGCACATTACTCGTACCTGATTTCAGAAGTGAGACAATCAAATCCAAGCGAATAACCAACATTTCTGTGTTATGTACCGCGGTTATAATATGGTTCAAGATGTGACACGGGTTGATGACGTCAGTTACTCGAATCGCTTGAAGGCGTTGGTTTTAACTGCGGTTTTGTTGTAATTTGTTTATTTTAGAAAAGATCGTATATAATTTCTGATAATTTTTATTATCACTTAATAATTGGTTCTTTTTCGTCTCAACGGTATATGGAAACCGTTCATAATATTAATGGGAGAAATGTTTTTTTTTCAGAAAAAATTTCTTAATGATGGAACCATAGCTTTGCAGCTACGATAACTTTCAATTTTCTAAACTTTTCCGCATGTCAAAGAAAAATTGTATTGATTTAGCGGAAATGATAGGAAAAAGCGATGAAAAAAAGATATTAGCAAAACCGTATACAGGCGGACATCATCCAGTGAGTTTATATGGCCATATTTTAATATTCTTGTGGTATATGGCTACACAGGATACTTTGTTAAGCATGCGAACTAGATGTAAAGTGTCCCCAACAACAGTAATGATTATAACTAATAAAGTGCTCTACTTTATGCTAAAACTGAAGTCAGCCTGTATCAATTTTCCTAAAAATGAAGCTGAAATACAATAAAAATATCCAATAGCCGGCAAAATTCTAACTTGTCACGGATCTTATAACCAAACTGATCACCACACTCGCTTGAACGGATCGGTAAATAATAATAATAATAATAATAACCCGGCTTTATTTATACAAAGTATAAAAAGGCGAAGTGTCGCTAAAAAGCGTTTTTCAGCTTAACCCAAATACCAATCCAAAATGGTAAATAGGATCTATTTTGAATACAAAGGTTGCCATTCAAATTTACTAAATATGACGTAACTGCTTTGTTCCAGTGAAAGGACTATCTATGTATAGGTTTTTCCCAACTACATAATTATACAAAGTTTCCCATCTACGGTACGAAACTTCAGAGGGTGATTTGTTAGGTCGTTTCAAGAATGGTATGGAATTATGACATTATGTAGGGTTTTCCGAAAAAATGTCACCTTGGAACTAACTGTCATTCACTGCATGTTCACTTATAGTCGATGAGCCTAAGCATCATGACACTAGCTATATGATTTGGCTCTGATGTGATGTAACATCTTAAGTGATTGTACTGGCGGAGGCCATTATTAGGTTATGACCTGAGCTGTAAGTTTTATACTACCGGAAGGAAACACTGCAGCCCTCAGTGATGATTAGTGTACTAATAACCTGTGTCGATGATTCTGTTTGTTTCTTGTCTCAAATACACTTTCTAGATATCTATGCAAAGCTAGAAATTACTTGACTTTGTTAAGCAACACTCAATCAAATTTGATTTTTTTAAAGACCTAACAAATCACCATCTGAAGTTTCGTACCATACCCTGTATATCATAAAACATATTACCAGCATTTTGAAATACTTGTTGGCAAAATGATAAACTGAAATTGATGAGTATGACAGCCAGTTTGACCGGAGTGGCCCATTTTAAAGAGAAAAAAAAAGGTGTAAATATTGGCTGTTTCCCTTCTGTTAACAGTGAAAATTGTTTTCCAATATTATACAGTTTATTGGTTGTTCAAGAAAGATAGCTTTGTCAGGAGCTATATTCATAATTACTTATTTACTAGTCATTTCAAATATTCAAAAATATAAAATGGCATAATGAAATTGACAGAATACTATAATAAACGTTAGTCATTACTTAAGTAGGTACTTTTTTATTATTAATATTTGCCTAGAGAGAAAAGAGGGACTTCTCAGTGGAAGACTACGGTCAATGATGACTTTTCAGGTCAACAGTGTCAATAGTCCAAGAATGTATTTACCTATTTTTCATAAAAACCTATGAAATAATATGGACGTAAATACTACTGAAATTGAAAAAAAGTGCAAAAGTTATGAATCAGAAATTTTCATTTTATATTTGATAATTTACGTTAATGTTGTACAAGACGTGAATCCAGAAGGCTAATCACATATCCTGGGTTTCTGGAACACCCTGAATACATACCTGGTTATTTTCTAAATGCACTCCATGAGGCAAAAATGGATTGTGATTTGACATAGATGGCGGGTGAGCACCTAACTCGTTGAAATGTGACATTTGATTGGTCAGTTCAATTGTACCTTCTTCAACAACTGTCACTATGGCCCACATTGGATCTAGAAAACAAAATGGTTCGTTTCTAATATATGAATTTTTTCCGAATGGTTCCAATACTATAGAAAATATATATTCCAGTCCAATTCTAAGACAAATAGTATTCTCTAATCTAAGACGTGTTTTACCAGTGAATATTGACTACACTTTTGTACACGTTTTTAAACTGGCATACTATTCACGCACAATATCGCAGTCTCACGATTTCGATCGCAAAATTTGCCAACCATACACGTTGAGCGCGCGTATGATTAACCAAAAACAAAGGTTTACATTTTCATATTCAAGTAAAAAAATCATCTTCTACACTTACAAAAGTTTATTGTATTGAACAATGAGTACCACAGTTGTTCTACTGGAGGGAGTATACGAGCCCAAACAACTAAATATCCGGACACTTTTAAATTTTGTGCAAATTGTTCTATAAAATAACAGAACAAGATCGTAAACTTGTACTGAAAACTTTTATTGACAGTTTATACAAAATGTGACCTATTTTCGATAATAATATTTGTTTTTCTTGATAAGTAATTTAAATTAACAAATGAACTAAATTCTCAAAAATATTTGGCAACTAAATATTCGGACACTACAAAATGTAACTTAACTAATAACTTGTTACGTCGCCTTTTGCCTTAATTACCGCCTGAATTCTTGCAGGCATGGTCTTAACTAATGCTTGACAGTTTTCTTGTGTAAACGAATTCCAAATTTCTTGCAATTTCACACGTAGTTCAGAGATTTTTCTCTGAGGGGATGGTTTCTCAAATGTTGTTTCATTTTGTGGCAGACCGTTTCTATCACATTTGAATCCGGACTACTGTCGGGCCATGAGAGGACATGTACGTCATGATCCCCAAACCATTATTGTGTGCTTTTGGCAGTGTGGCATGCTGCGCTGTCCTGCTGATAAATGCAATCTCCGTCAGGATATAAGTCTGCTATGGTAGCAGTGGCGGTTCCACTGTAGGAGCACATGAGTACGTGCGCCCCCAAAATAAATAATAAAAAATATGTATAATATCCATTTAATAATTTCTCCAAGTCTGAGCCTCCCTGATATTTAATCGTATAACATCAAACCGATCTAGTAGCTCTCCACTGTTGAGTCACCAGTCTCTTACCGCTGCGCTGCCTGATTCGGGCGATTCGGACTTGCGCGGCCCGACTGCCGCCGACGGATGACGACGAATAGTCGCATATGCGATCATGTACGCGGGATTAGTGTGTTTCTCTCCCTGTTGTTCTGGTTGCGGGGTATAGCGGGGTTATCGCAATTTTAGTTGGAGAAGGCGCACCATTATCCGTTGTGCGTGCATTTTATGCAGTAATTGGAGGTGTGTTCGAATTTTTATGTTCGTAGCAGTATTTTAACAAGATATTGAGTTAAAATGAATGGTTTCACTGTGGAATATTTGAAACATAACTTCAGTTCATTGAGTTTTGAAATAAAAAATGCCACAAAGGTAAATCTAGAGACTTTATTAGAAAGTTTAAAATGGAAATATATGAAAATAATAACTGGATTTGTGGATGCAGCACAACAAACCGTTTGTTCTGTTTTTCCTGTTTGTTGTTTGGTCGCGGGGTTGCAGAGCCTGCCTGGACAAAAAATGGAATAGCCGACTTGGGACATTTAGTACAAAAAAATAAGAAACATGAAAACACTCAAGTCCATATCAATGCGCACCTGGAAATGCAGCTTTTGGGAAAAGTAGATATACGGCAGCAGTTGGTCAGTGCATATAGGCGCAGTATTCATCAGCAAAATGAACAAGTTAGAAAGAATAGGTATGTATTCAAAGGGGTAGCAAAAATCATTCAAAACGAATTGTTAGATTGCATGTTACAAGTGGCTCAGGAAAATATAAGAAAAGAAATTTTGGAAGCTGAATTTGTTGTTGTTATGGCTGACAAAATAACGGATGTAGCTAATTGTTATCAAATGACTACAGTATTTAGGTACATTATACCAGATGGAAGGCCAGTTGGACGCTTTTTGAATTTTGTTACCCCCTCCCTGACCACGATGCAGTTAGTCTCTCAGAATGTGTGAAAACTAATTTAATATAAGTGATCTAGCACTTGTATTAAATTACCAGAGAAACTGAGAGCTCAAAGTTATGACGGCGCTAGTGTAATGAGTGGACGTCATGGAGGTGTTCAAGCTCTTATTCAACGTGATTATATTTATGCTTATTTCGTTCATTGTTATGCCCACCAGCTAAATTTGATTTTATCCCAAGCTACAAGCCAAAATCAAGAAGTAGGGGTATTTTTTTCAAATTTAAGCGATATTTCAACTTTTTTTCTCAATCTCCACAACAGTTGCAGTTTTGGATGAAATTGTTGGTGCAAGAGTTCCTAGGTCTTCTGTTACAAGATGGAATTTTAAAAGCAGATCTATAAATACAGTATATGAATATCGCGAATTGTTAATAGAATGCATGGAAAACATAGAAGCTACTTCAAAACAAACTGTTACCATCAATCAAGCCACTGGTATTGGCCGTATGCTACATTTTTAGAAGGCCTCAGTTAATTTATGGGTCCACTTGTACAAAAAGTAAATGTGTCCGAATATTTAGTTGTTTGGGCTCATAGACTTCCATTTACAAAACTGTAGTAGCAATATAACAAACAAGTCACTATTTCGAATGGGATTGTACGAATTTAATAAATTAAGCAATGATGTTGGGATGTGGGTCAGTTTGAAGGTGTTCTAGGGAAGGTTGAAGGGGTATCTCATGGAGGGTCAGAGTTCATAGTGGTGAAATTTTGTATGTGTATGATAGTAGGGTTGTCCTGAAGACATAATGTATTATATGTGATGTGTTGTGTGGTATGGATATTATGGATATTGTAGCATTAATGCTAAATAAATCAAAAACAAAGAATAACAATACCCTCTAAAATACTTTTGAGATTTTGTTGATGAATGTTTCAGGAATATTTAGAAATTTTTGGCAAAATTATAGTATTTTGAAATATTCTTTTGAATATCTGAACAATTTTTGACGCGATTTTGGTCCTGCCAATCTGCAGATGTGTTGAAAGTGGTCCTTTTTTAATAATATTATGCAAGAAATCGAATCAGAGTATCTTTCTGAGAAGCCCTAAAGGTACTTCCTGGACTTGCAGTTATATAGCTATATTATAAAGGCGCAGATTTAGACATTATCAGTTATTTGAAAATTCCGACATGAAAACGAAAATAAAATAGAGATGCCACATGAAATAACAAACAATTACCTCCAAAATAAGCCCCATTTGATGTACATAACCGCCATTTGCTTTGATATATGCCAGGTGTTGTAGGACTCTTCATTTCAACAGTTAAACTAATTCCTTCCCCTGGCCTGAGACAAGGAACCCCCACATCATTGCCTGACAAATTGACACCATCTGAGCATTTTGCATAACAACCTACAGGCCACTGCTCATTGCCACTGTTCATTATGCGCCAGGTCTTTTTAAAACTGGAACATACAAAGTACTCAACTTACAATAACTTCTGGAACGGAGGAGGGCGAGCACCAACCAGAGGAATGCAAAACTAAATCAGTATGCTGCTGAAAATGGATAAAATTGGTGACTTTTGAAATTCTCTTTATGAATGGTGAGAGAGTTTTCTAATGCTCTTGTTTGGTGCTCGCCACCCTTAATGCTAGATGGGTAGAAGGGGAGGATAATTACAAAACATGATCATTGATAATTAGTAAAATGGTTGATTAACATATTTCTCTAATAAATGTCATTAATCATCGGCGAGAGCGCATTCCTGAACCAAATTAAAATAGAAAAGTTCATATAATCATGTCTCCTGAAAAGTCTGGTTTTCTAAATATTAAGAAAATGGTCGTTTATTAAGGCCCGTATCGTCAGTCGTCCCTACAATTGTAGGGCGCCTTTATGGCCTCCTTGATTGTCATAGTTTTCTACTTCTCCGTGTCAGAACTCTATTTTAAGGTTATGTCACAAACATCTATTTGCATCAAATTGTGCTTGTTTTTGAGTTATATCATGTTTTATCAGCATGAAATTTCCTACAATTTAAAAAGAAAACATATCTTCACAATAGGAGAGTGCTGACGCTGACACGGGACACGTGTAATCTAGAAATTTTTGAAGGAGAGAAAGGAGTATGACAATCAAGGAGGCCATAAACGCGCCCTACAATTGTAGGGACGACTGACGATACGGGCCTAATAGCTTAAGGATCCTTGTGCTGAGTTAGTTGAATTGTGACAGTGTTGTACATTGCAATAAGACGTAAATTAGCACTAACTAGAAGATAATTATAAATTGACAAAAAATGTAAGCCACAAATCTTCAAAGAAATATACATTTTTTCGAACTAAGCTGCTAATGATACAATTTTTCGGAATCTCTTTGTATCTGACTTCAACTTATGGGCCAAAAAAAATTGTTAAAATAAAAATATTTGTTATGAGCATACCTTTTACTTTCCGTAACAGTTTGCTATTGTTTTCCTCCTGTCAAAACCTAGATTTTCATTTAAAACTCCCTTTCTGTCCCGCAGTTTTAAACACTGAACGTGTAGGTGGTGCCACTGATAATGTAAACCCATATTTCCCAAGCATGCAAGTAAAGTATTTTTCTCGAGTATCCATTACCGTATAATGACAGCTTACCTAGTAATATTTCAAAATTCCTCATATCGGCAAAGGACACAATTCTGAAGGATCCGTCAATGCCAGGTAGACAGAGACATATTTTATTTTGATTTTTTGTACAGTACAGATTCATTTTGTACTTGCTAAAAGCTCTTTTATTTACAAAAGTACATTTGCATACAAAAAATAAAACGCTGGAAACAAGTTTTGTTAGATTTACACCTAATTCATTACAATCTTTTATGTTATTAACAGTCTCAAGCGTACGAAGTCGCAGGTAACAGGTATTGCAAAATAAAACGTCTGTATCGCTTCAGATTTGCGGGGTGAGTGGGGGAGATTTTGTTTAACCGCCACAGTTAATTACAAAATGGTAATTTTTCGGATAAAACTGGGAACTAATTATTAAAAAGGCTACAAAACTTTACCTCTCTATGTATTGTGGTTCTGACGTAATGCTGACAGACATTCACATTTATATATAGCCATTTGACACCTGTATCTGGAATTTAGACTTCTAGGACACATGTTTATGTGAACTTTTCTACTTGAATTTGGTTAAGGCACACTCACTTGTAATTACAGTCTATCATTAAGTCACATCCTGTATGTGTTGCCTCTTCTTGGACTGTTGTTGCAGGTTATCAGATTTCTTTTTTCATTATTGAGAAACTCTGAGAATATAAAATCTTAGGAATAATTACAGGGTTTGTCCGGAAAGTAATAGGACTCATTTTCTTCCACCATGACTGTACTTCGGAGCGTGCGCGCACCGACTGGATTCGGTAGAGGGCGTTCCTAGCTAACGAATGAGCGGCTGGTCAGTTGTCTACGAGCACTTGGAGAGTCAGGACAGGCATTTTTGCGCGACGTGTTTCTGTGAGTGGTGCAAGCCGAAAATGCAGCGTTCGTTAGAGCAGAGGTACGCGATTAAATTCTGTGTGAAACTCGGTGAATCTGGGACAGAGACGTTTGATATGATCAAGCAGACTTACCCAGGTGTTGCTTTAGCAAGAAGTGGTGTGTTTCGGTGGCATCAGACATATTTGGAGGGCCGGGAAGAGGTCGCTGATGAAGACCGTGCTGGAAGACCTTCGACTTCGACAAACACCGATAATGTGACTCGTGTGCGCAAAGTTTTGAACTTAGACCGTCGACTAAGTATTCGTTTAATTGCCCAGATGTTAAATTTACCAAAATCTGTGGTTCATGACATTGTGACACAGCATTTGAACATGCGCAAGGTGTGCGCGAAGATGGTCCCAAAAGTGCTCACTGACGATCAGAAATTGAGGCGAGTGGAAGTGTGACAAAGAGAAAAAAAGGGAAGAATGAGCAAATCCAAAGTGAAAACGATGCTCATTGTCTTTTTTGACATCAAAGGCATCGTCCACCATGAATTTGTTCCTCCTGGACAAACCGTCAATGCCACGTTTTACGTGGAAGTGCTCAGGAGACTCAAACGAAGGGTCAGTCGGGTCCGACAAGACATCGCAGCCGACTGGAAGCTGCACCACGACAACGCCCCGGCTCACACCGCCTTTCTTGTGAACAGCTACCTGACCAAGGCCGGCATCCCAACCCTTCCGCAGCCGCCCTACAGCCCAGATGTGCCCCCCCCCCGGACTTTTTTTGTTTCCTCGCCTGAAAAGGCGGATGATAGGCAAGCATTTTGAGACGACAGAGGGGATCCAAGCAGCATGCACCACGGCTCTCAAGGCTTTTCCGGAGAACACCTTCCATGACGCCTTCAATGCTTGGAAATTGCGCTGGCAGCGCTGCATCAACGCAGAAGGATCCTATTTTGAAAGTTTTTAAAGAATTGTAACAATGGGCTCAATAATTTTTTTCAAATCGACTCAGTCCTATTACTTTCCGGACAAACCCTGTACAAGGAAGTTTGAGGCATGATCTTTACTTGGACAGATAGTGTCATGTTCAGGTTCAAACAATTCACTTTAAAAAGGAACTTAATCAATGAATAATATATCCAGATTTAACACTTAATAGAAGATAGTTTTTAGTTCAACAAAAATAACAAATTATTAAGCCTTCCATTAGGTTATTTTCGGCAGCAACAACAAATAAATAGTTTTTATGACCACTAAGCTAAACCGTAGAATTTGACAGACATCATCCTGAAAGAGAATATTTAAATACAAGATGTAACTGAAATAAATACTAACTTGACATTTGGCTCTATGCTCTCCATTTCATTGGCAACTGGGTCTGACATCAGAGCCATTGACGGTAGTTGATTTGGTGATTCCACATCTAAATATGAGCAAACTGCAGCTTGTAGATTCCTATAACAAAACATACCTGTCAATAGAATGGAAATATTATTTAGAATCACATGGTGAAAATGAATTTAGAAAAGTACAACTTTAACCCAATTCAATTGAAAGTCATACCTGTGTAAATAATCCTTTCCTGTTGAGAAACTCTAAAAATAATGAATATTTACAATGGAAGATAAAGAGTAATCTTACTTGGAAGGTTAGTGTCTTGTTTAAGAAAAAGCAAGTGCTGCAAAATATCTCATCCAGCATATTCTGCTCAAACCAAGCTAGTCAAACACAATGCTTATAGTCAAATGCTGAATTCTTAATAAAAATAATAAATTGTCATAAATGTATGCATTGCATTTAGTTCATAATAATAATAAATAAAAAAGTTGAGCCTACAAAAGTTTACCTAAAGATTTTATTGTAGCAAATAGAATCAGTGAAATTGATTTGAAAATCTTTTGAGTTCCAGCTCAATTTGCTAATACATCTTTTACTATTAAATTACAAAATATTTGGCCCTTACTGCCAGACATAATAATAATAGAGATATGATGATCAAGTAGATATGAAAATTGCTAATAATTTTTTATACTTGTCTTATCAATTAAAATTATAGTAGGATTCAAAAATATTTTTTTATTTAAAATGGCATTATGAGACAAGTTACAATATAATTTCAATGTACAAATTTAACATATGAAATAATTTTTCAAACCACTACAAAACCAAATGCATTATTTTGATAATTTCCTCAGATAAAGGTATAAAGCACTTCGTCAAACACATTTATACATTTAAAAATGAAATTGATATTTTTCAGTAGTGCACTTTTCATGAGCATATTGTTTTTTCATAAAAATGCACATAATTCCATCTTAACCTAATAGGCATAAGGGCATGTACCAAGGACTCTAGCTTGATGAGGGGAGACCAAATGCTGACAAAATAAAAAGAAATTAAACAAAATGTCCAGTGCCCCATTTATCTTAAGGCTCCTAACTCTTGTGTGCCTATGGGCCCCTACAATGCTTAACATAGCCCTGAAGGTACAACACTTTTAGTTACCAATCATTCATGTCCAAAAAGAATACAGCTGTGGTAAAGTTGAGATGACTGCCAATCAGTTTCTGCAGCTGATTCACTAGTTCATCTTTGTCTGTTGTCCCCATGCGGCTGAACTGTCTCAGAAAGGCCCCCTCGACGTCCATGCTGCCCGGAGCTTCAGGGGCTCCGTTATCTTCGTCCATTTTATTACGCAAAATCAGATCGATCTGAAAAGACACAAATGGACAAAAATCCACAATGACCTGGACATTTTTAAATGATAAGTAAATACAAACATGGAATAGGTCAAATCAAAATATGCACTAATGTGGGCTTGACAAGAATGATGCTTAAATGTTTAAAGTAATATTGTTCATCGTTGCAATTTATGGTAGTTTTTGAAGGAATATTACCTTCTTAAAGTAATTACATTTATATAAATCCTTTTCTTTTGTATTTTTATCAGACGTCAAGACAGTTGCACTTATCAGCTGGAAGTGTCACTGTCAGCTGTCAGCAGTGTCAGCAGATATAGGCCATATTTGAAAAATGACATGAAATCATGAAGGCTAAAGATAGGAGGTTAAGCTCATCGAGTCAGGCTGAAACCAAGAGTGTCGACGGTAAACGGTAAAGTGCAAATGATTTTCAGGTGCTGCCCATGCAGCGTCTTTATCTGTTGAGTCATCATGACTGTAAACGCCTCCAATTTTGACCGTTTGGATTACTTGTAAGCATAAATACTACGGTGATATTGATAAACCACGAAGTGATAAATTTACAAACCATGGCAAAGCGTGAGCGAAATGTACCTTATTATTGCGGCAGGTTATGTTCAATATTCAATATTTTTAAATCCGCAGAACACGGCGAAAACGCTCTACGTCCACTAGATTTCCGAGATCCACACCGTCCTTGGTGTCAGGATTGGCTTAATACGAGTAGTAGTAGTAGTAGTAGTTTATCTCCTTGTTTTTAATCTTTGTGTATTTAAAGCTATTTACGAAAAAGTCAGACATTCAGCTATCATAAAATATAGTTCAAAGAATCAATGTACCATCATTGATACCAAAGCGTCATCTATGAAAATGAGTCACAGCTACGTTTCTCCTCTCCGCACTAATTAGAAATCTACTTCGAAAAAGTTAGGGACTCTGTAGCCAATTGTATCAATTTATATTTGGCAGCAGCGCCATCTATGAGACTTATGAGACAGTAACTTTTGATAGTAGATGTCTACTTACTGCGGAGAGGAGAAACTTAGCTGTGATAAATTCTCACAGATGACGCTATGGCATCTCATTGCATCTCTGACAATTTGTTAGACGTGGCAACATATTAACAGGTTTGCTATTTTCAGGTAGAGTTAATCAGTGCCCACGCACAACATATTTTATTCTACTTAAGGCGGGGTTCGCAGTGCGTGTGTGGTTGGGGCTAATTTGAATATCAAACTGGTTAGAACTTTTAGCGTTAGAAACATATAAACATAAAGTACTCAGTGTCCTATTGTTTGGAAAAACAGATAGACAAATGAAGATCCATAAAATGAATTTTGTTTGAAATATATTTTTGTAGAAGTAGAAATAAAGATTTCTCCAGAAAAATTGTTACACATTCTAGTTATCTCGGGAAAAGGAAACGGTCATAAAGAGAATTCGGAAACCTGACAACACTGTCCGCCAGATTTGAGATTGTTGCAGCAACATACAGAGTTCTGAGGAGATAAGCCGAATCGCAATATCTCTTAACGTTGATTAATGGATTTTTTATGTTACTTAAAGTAATTAATTTTAATCTCTAATTGAAAAATTTTAGATTTTTTTGCTAATGTTTTCCCAATCTAGATTTTAGATTTCGACACAATTTGATGTTTATGCAATATTTTTTCACGTTTTATCCAATCAAGTGGACCCGTAATGCATTGCAAGAAATTAGAGCTGTATCTATTATAGCTTTTAGCTACTAACTAAAAGTGATCAATTGCTGTCACCCTGACGCTATAGATAAAAAAATACCCATATTATTGATCCTAGGCTGAATTTTGTTTGGGTCTCGTAGAATATTTGTACAGGTTAAATGAAGAAACAGGTTAATAATATGTTTTAAAGCAACCAATGGAAGCAGTATACAACGTATGGGATAATAGGGACGAAAGTATCAAAGAATGAGATTAGAGCTCTATATTTTTTGACAGCTTTTTTAAATTCTATTGTTTCTTGTGCTCTGTGATTCTGTGCCGACGCGCATGTCAGCGAAGAGCGAAACTTGATTGCTCATTGGTCGACAAACTGGTTGACGCTTGAGCTTCGAGCCATATTTTGAGTGAAAAATGAAAAAAGAAAAAAACAAGAATTTCAAACTAGACACCACAAAATTGACCAGTGATTTGTACAAATTTTGCTAGTACTTCCATGCAGTCGTCCTTTATCAGTGAATTGAACCGTGTGCAATGTTGAACCAGGTCCCTGTAGAAGCTGTTTACTCGGCCACATATGTGGAAAACTATCTGGATTGTGTGGAAAATCTACCAGACGAATTGCAAAGACTGATCTCTAGAATGAGGGAGCTGGACGTCAACTATCTGGCCAAAGTCAGGGAAGTGGCAATGCAAACAGAGAATTTCTCAAATCTTCGTAATGACCCTTCAAAGAAGGCAAAGAGCTTTTTGAGGATGCAACATGCTTTGATTGCAGCTCAGGAATTGGGCGATGAGAAAATGAGTCTCCTGCAGTCTATCCTCGATAAAATTGAGTTTAAAACCAGGTAAATGTTCATATTACAAGAATGAGAAAGCAGTTTCAGAATAGTGGTTGATAGAATAGATTGAGGCTCAGAAAATGATTCTGTAGTAAAAATGAGCATAAAGGGATCATACATGGGTCTTGCTACATATTCTTAAAAGTAGGTTACAATAGCAATATTATAAACCTTCAGTAATTGTTTAAAAGCTATTACAAAACTTTGCTAAACCCAGTTATGTAAATTGTAAACAAGTAGGAAAATGGCCATTGCATTTGTTGTATATTTTTGTGCACTGGGAGGTGCTGGTAAACATGGGAGAAATAGAGAAATGGTGATGATTGCATTTTTTATAGATGTAGAAAATTATATTATGAAATTTAAAATGAAAATTGTGGTTGAAGTATTTTTTCACAAAAGAAAAATTTCATATATGGTACCCACAACTAACAAATCCATCACAGAATTGGTGCTGCCACACATTGCCATTTACCTGCCAAGCCACACAAATCAATTCAAACAAAGCCTAAATGAAAACTGAAAGACTGAATCAAAAACCTAAAGCCTAAACCAAGATGATAAACAAAACAAAAAACAAAATCTACCTGGAACCCACACCAAAGCCCAAACTCTTTGGGTTGTAGTGCTTTAGTGACCTGTGGGAAATTCCTAAGCTAGGGCTCACATCCCTTTACTCTCTAGACCTAGCGCCCTCCAGTTATCACCTATTTTGGAGGTACAAGATTTTCTGTAGGATTAAAAATTCAAGTCTTTCTCAATATCTATGTAGTGGATCAATTTTTCTCACCTAGAAATTTGACCCTTAATAAAAATTTTGTGTACAGATTGCCATCACACCAGTAAGAGGTTATAAATAATGATGGGCATTATATTAATTGTTCAGGTTTATCAAAGAAATGGAAGCATATTTTGTTAGCACCTAAAAATGGTCACAACTTTCCAGTAGACAATAGACTCATTCATTGAACTATTGATTAACTTGACATTAAAAGTCTTCATATATCAACAGATGTTATGTCATCTTCTACATTCCCTTTTCATTCACCCCTTTACAGATTGTTGGACCAGGATTTCAAGAATCTAGACTTTGGCAAAGAAGAGCAGAACCAGATAGAAAATAAAGAGCAGCAGTCACCTTTGAATACAACTCCAGCTACCAGTAATACTTCTTTAACAAATGGTGAAAGGCCAACTAAAAGAGCTAGGAGGACAAGACACGACACTTTTTCAGGCTTGGAGAATAATCATAGTGAGCAGAATCCTTCTGAACACACTCTACGTAGTCAGGTAATTGCAATAAACTTAATTTTAGCTTTTAAATACTTCTACTTGTACTGCAAAAATTTCTCACTCTGGAGTTGGATTGTCAACTAAAATGATTAAAAAATGTTCTGATACATCAGCAGGAACATTTTTGGAAAAATTAACATTCATTTTATTTCCCAGGTACCGTCTAGTACTTCTTCTTCAACAGTCACCAAGAAACAAACCACCACTAAAAAGAAGAAACGCAAATCGCGCCAAGCTGCCCAAGTACCTAAAGAAGAGTCTCCACCTAGAGAAGAAGAAGCTGTTATAGACCCAGATGAACCTACATACTGTCTCTGTGATCAAATCTCCTATGGAGAGATGATCATGTGTGATAATGACCTGTGCCCCATTGAATGGTTCCACTTTTCATGTGTCACTCTGACCACCAAGCCGAAAGGCAAGTGGTTCTGTCCAAAATGCAGGGGGGACAGGCCAAACATCATGAAGCCCAAGGCTCAATTCTTGAGAGAGTTGGAGAAGTACAATAAGGAGAAGGAGGAGAAGACGTAATGCTGCTAGCAAGCTTTTATTTTGTAAGTTTTAAATGCAGATTTTTGTATGTCTTATTTATGTTTTATTGTCGAAACAAACTTTCTTGATATTGCTGTATAATATGTAAGTGTAAGCTAGGCGATAGATTTTATTGGAGTTCACTAAATAAATACTTTTATATTATTAAGAATTTAATATCAGTCTTTTAGTTTTCTTTGTGACCTCTTCATACCATACAGGATAGGCAAAGAACAAATTGAAGTATTTAATGTGTATGAGAGAAATAGAAACAGAACACGTGTTGGAGCGAGAGCGCGAATGACAACAACGGTTCTGTGGATGTTTCATTCGCGTAAAATGCTGCTAATTGATAATTTTAAAAATCATGAAAAATCGCAAGTGAAAGTTTTGCGATTCCTGTAACTTGTATGTATGTGGTGATACTATCCTCTTGAAATATTATGTTTGAATCGCCGCCTTGTAATTGAATGATTGACAGCCTTGTGAGAATACATCATATTGATCAGTTCTGCTTTTATTGACTTGACAAGATTTTTCTGAAAACTGATTTTGTTTTGTTCACACAGCACTGCCCACGCTTCCCTTTACATGTCTCACTTTGAAAATCAAGATACTAAAGGAAAACAGATGAATTCCTCCAGCTCTAAAAAAATAGAACTTCCTACTATTTGTTTAAAATATTTCACTGAACTACCCATCTCTTGTTAAATCTGCAATCTCATTCTCCCAATTTTTTAAAAAAGATTTACAGTAAGTCAAAAAACAATGAATTATCTCAAATTCCACGTCTAGATTACGAAAACTAGATAATTTTAAATTTTATCTCAAATAATAATGTAATTCTCTATTCCAACAGAATAGTTCGTAAGTGTTCTGAACTATACTAACATCAGGCATGTCCAGAAAAATAATTCTGAACTGCTTGTTGGAACAAACCTGCAGTATGTTATTTCCCTGCTAGCTCCAGTGTTCAGTGAGGCCACCAAAAGTTTCTAAGTCAGATCCAAGTGGATAAGTATTAATACACAAAGTACTTTAAAGACTGTTTAATATCTGAGGCTTGCACTAAAAAATAATGGCATTTTAGATAAATGTGTATATCAGCACTTACAACAAAAACCAACCTACCTCAAACCGTTACGTCACGATAATTTCAGCATTAAAATATCAACGTTGTTCAAAATTCAAATGGTAGCATTCTAAAGTAAAACACAAGCATTTTCAAATGAGGCGACAAAAACTTTTGCTGTGAAAAATTGTTCATTTGAAAAAAACGGTGGTGGTGTCATTCATCTCTTAAGTAGTAGGACAACTTCTCTCCTAACACTACATATACATATTTGTCATATTTCTTAAGAGAAGCTTAGTTTGACCGAAAACTTGTAGATGCCGCCACGTGTATGAATCTAATGTTTATAGGTCAGGTGTCCTAGTAGGGTTACCAGTGAGAAGAGTGGGATGCAAAAAATCTGGACAATATTTCAAAAAGCTAGGATTTTGGGATTATAATCGGGACAAATAAATATTACGAATTAAAAAGTTATTTTTTATTATTGAAATTAAGTTATTACAACAAAATACTTTTTTTTGGCAGATTATCAAAATGATACATATATATCAGATCAAAATAGGAGACAACTAATACACACTTATTTTCTACTTTGCTACCAGTAGGTATATTGTCCTTGCCTTTTAGAATACACCTACTTTATACCAGAAGATTCTGCAAATGAGCTAAAAAGTCTAAAAACAAACCCAAAACTAGACGCCTGACAGAGGGCGCACGGCGCAGTGATCAGCGATCGAAGCGAATCGAGTACTACCTACTACGCATGCGTAGCGTATCTGAATTTATAGTACGAAATCCGGCTGCTTGAATTAGGGTTGCTGAGGATTCCTCTTCCGCTTCCTCATAATGCGGAAGTTCCGCAATATTTTGGGTTCCTCAACCGTTACCGCATCCTCATAATAAAAATGAAAATAATCCTCTTCCGCTATCGCTTCCTCAAAATTTAAGAGGAATTTCACTGCGCATGCGCGTCGCGTATCCATGGTAACTCACACGCCGCAGCGCGATGCCGGGCGGAACGGGCGAGCGAGACCTCCCCTCCCGCCACCCGTGCTTTTCTTTGCTTGTTTCAACTTGTTTTAATTTTATTGAAATAGCAAATAGCAAGCGTTGTTTTGTTTACGCGCGTATGGAACTATACACGCAGTGCAAATAATATAATCTAATAATTTGATTTCTTTTATCAAAAATCGAAATGAGACCGAAGTGTAGTGCTATATGGACGTACTTTAATGAAGTAGACGATCAGACTGTGCGTTGTAACTTGTGCAATCAAACATATTCAAGAAAAGGGCGCGGGACTTCTGGGCTACGGAGTCATCTCCAGTCACGTCATAAAACGGTATATACGGAGTATGAAAAATGCGATGCGGCTTCGAAAAAGGCTGAAGTGGAAAAGAAACGTAAGTGCACAGAAGAAACTTCTCTTCAGTTGGTGAAGAGGCAAGTTACTTTACAAGAGTCATTAATGAAACACCAGTGCTGGGATTCATCACATGAAAAAAGTCGTGAGCTAGATAAATTAATCTGCGAAATGATTGCATTGCAAGATTTGCCTTTCAATTTCATTGAAGGTATTGGTTTTAGACGTTTTGTCCAAGCCGCACAGCCTAAATATGATCTAAAAAAACGTCAGTATTATACTTCGCATTTGTGTAATTACGTTAATCCTAAACTTTATGAAAAGATTAAAAACTTGATAAAAGATTTGGAATACGTGTCTTTCACTACTGACATATGGACAGAGCCTGGAGCTGGTGTTTCTCTGCTTAGTTTTACGGTCCACGGCATTAATGATGAGTTCAAAAGAGTGTCTTTAGTTCTTAAATGTGTCACTCTCGAAGAACGACACACGGGCGATCTGGTAGCTCAAAAACTCGACGAAATACTAGAGGAATGGGACATTCCTCGGCAAAAGCTACATGCAATGGTCCGTGACGGTGGATCTAATATGAAACGAGCTGCCCGTATCTCACAAATCGACGATATAGATTGCACCTTACATCAATTACAATTGTGTGTACGTTCAGCTTTGGCGTCTAATGAACATTTCTCAACGCTGTTGGCTAAATGTAAGCAGATTGCGACGCACTTCAATCACTCTATAACTGGACAAAAGGAATTGAACGACTTTCAAGAACGCCTAGGTTTACCTCAGCTGTCAGTTATCCAAGAATGTGCTACTCGGTGGAACAGCATGTTTTATATGATTGAGCGACTTATTAAGATAAAGGATGCTATCATATTATATACATCGCAACACCCAAATTTGCCGCAACTTGTACCAAGTGATTGGGTAAAACTTGAAACCTGTACGAGGATTCTGAAACCCTTTGAAGAGGTAACTAAATCTTTGAGCAGCACTGAGGCATGTATATCCTCTGTTATACCACTGATTCATGTCTTAGTATGTGCAATGCAAAATTTTTTGACAGAAGATAACATTGGTAATGACCAAGATTGCAAAAATGTCATCCAAAAACTGATAGAAGAGATTAACAACCGCTTCGGTGAGCTTCATAATAATAATCTCTACGCCATCTCTACATATTTGGATCCAAAATACAAAACGAAATTTTTTAATGAAATAACTAAAGAACGTATTGAATTAGCGCTACTAACAGTACTAACATCAACCAGCCAACGCCCAATAGACAATGTCGTCATGGATGTCCACAATCAACCATCCACTAGTTCTGGGGCTGTAGTAGACACATCCTGCCCCACAGCCAGCACTTCCACGGGAAAAATTGTAGATTCAATGTTAGCCGAAATGTTAGCCTCTGAGCTAAATAGTGACGATGAAATTGAAAGTTTACCAATAGAAGATAGATCCGTGGTACTGAAGTTACTATTAAATAACTACATTAGAGAAAAACGAATTAATATGCATGAAGACAGTCTTCTATGGTGGAAAAATAATCCGAAATATTCGGAGCTTTACGGAGCTGTACGGCAATACCTATCTTCTCCTCCATCAAGTGTCCCAAGCGAACGACTTTTTAGCAATGCTGGATTGGTATATGATGAGCTAAGAAACCGGTTGTCAGGGGAAACAGCGTCCAAATTAATTTTTATAAAAATTAACCTCCCTATAATTAAGTTTGATTATTAGTATTCAGTTCTTTTATTTTGACAGTTAATATTCGACTTAAGCAATTAATAAAGAAATAAAGACTGCATATTTATTTTCATTTCAATTCCTAAATAAAATTGTATCATTCACTCATCTTTTTTTTGTGTACGTGTATTGTGTATGTTACCGAACTCCTCCTAAACTGCTGGACCGATTTTGATGATTCTTTATTGCGTGTCTTTTGAGAATGGTTTAGATTCATAGTTTGGTCCACTGAAAAATGCCCTTTTAATTAATTTTGTGTATGTACATATGTACCTAGTTATGTACAGACAGAACAGCGGCTTTTGGGTTGGGTCCGCTAATATTTATAATTTCCTCTTCCTCATCCGCTTCCTCTTCCTCAAAAAATATCCTCTTCCTCATCCGCATCCTCTAAATTTGCGCGTGACAATTCCTCTTCCTCCTCCTCTTCCTCATAATCACTTCCTCAACAACCCTAGCTTGAATCTGTAACCCTGCTGTAATCTATTCTACTAATAATCATTTATCAAAAATCAAGTTTTGTTAAAAAAACATGGTGGATATGTTAAAGCACCGCGTTGCCAGATGGCCGGACATAATTTTCCCAGAACAAGCAAAAAATCCCTGAGAATTTTCACTTGAAAAAAAATCCCCCATATCAAAGTTAATTAATGGAAAGGTTAGGTTCAAAGAGCAGGGGACATGACATGTGTGATTTCCCCCAGAACATTATAACCTCAAATATTTCCTCAAGTACATATCCCCTATGATGGCAACCCTGTGAACGCACCAGAGATACCACAGCTTAATGCCCTCTCCAGACTCCCGCGCGAAGCCGCGAACTGCCCGCGACCCATGCGTGTGCATCCCATTCGCGTATTCTTCGCGGCTTCACGTCGCGTTCGCGCGATGTCGGTTTTTTGTCCCGCGACAAAGGGTTTGCAAGGCGCGAACGTGACTAGGCACTAGGCTCCTCATTCGCTGGTGGCTCAGTTTCCTCATAGCGAGTGCCGGGAGTGGTTGTTTTTTCCACTTCTTTTCCATTGTCTTAGTTTTACTTAAATATGCGTAATTATAAATTGACAAAGCGCAAAGTAGCCCTGCAGCGGCAGGCGGGAACATCTCAACTATAATAGTTTGGCATGATATAGTCTATAGCAGGGCTGTCCAACATACGGCCCGCTTCACGGGTCATGTATACATCACATGTATAAATTACTCTCAAATAACGAATATCACAATTCTTACATTAACTCTGTAATAATGTTGTATAGAAAGATTTTATAAGGCAGCCTTCCAAACTGCATT